TCCAATTCTAGCATTGCAGCATTCAGTGAGCAATAACTGTGTAGGATTTGGTGAGTAAGAGATCTACTTTAATTTTATGTCCTGCCTGCAGATTATATAAACCTCACCAAGTTCACTCCCTTCAGTTCTCTCTTTTGCAAACAGCAGTGTTCCAAACATTAGTCTCCTACCTCCTTCCATCTCCTTATTTTACCCATCCTTTTTTTCAACTTTTAATTATAGCCCTAAATTTCTTTATTATATTTGTAACAATTCCAGCTAGTAAGAGTTATTTTTCAAACACCTGGCATCTGCTTTAAAAAGAAGGGGGAAAATAGCATCTGAATTAGTTTCTAGGGGTTGTTTCCCTTAACAGAATGCAAAATGCTGGACCTTTTGCGCTCCTCCAGAGTGAAAATGACATGAAGAATTCACGTTCTAACTACCCACTACTGGTGACCCAGCAGGAATGCCAACTGATCAGATCACCCAGTAAGGGATACACATGAACAAATAAAAAATGCAATGACATAGCATTTCTTTTTGTACTGACATTTTGAGATTTCATGGTACCAACCAAACTTCACAAGATTTTGCTATCACAAAAGAAATCTCAATAATCTCAAAACAGATGCATCTCTCCTGGGAAACACAAGATGTGTGTTATGCTTGTGTCTAAGGAAAATCTTGTCTCCTGCCTGAGCTTGCTCAATATGCAGGAACCAATTTCAGCTGTGATTTCCAAAAACGTTTTATTGGAATAGCAAAAAAACATGAGGGAAAAGCATATCATCTTGCAGAATTCTGGAAATGACTACTTTGCCAAATGCCTGCTGTGCTCTTAGAAAGTGGTGTTAGATTCTCCCTTTGAGAACTTCCTTGTGTTTCCAGGCATACACCTACTTTTGCTTTAGAGTTTGGATCATATCAGCTGATTAGTCCTACAAGAGGACACATGTGAACAAACCAATCTTAAACCCAGTATGCAGCACATCACCCACTTGCTGAAATACCAAAAACTCAGTTTAAAAGTCTGTTGCACATCAGCTTGATATTTTTCACTTACAAAGAATATACAACCACAATGACAATAATATAAAGGTTTTCTCAGGGACTGTTAAGCAGTATTCTTTTGCTTTCCAAACAACTAGTACAATTCCATTTCCCCTTCATCTCTGGGAGTAACTTTTTATAGTCACAGCTTTGTTTACATAATCTTCAAAATACATCATGCTTTACAAGACAGTATTTTTTGCCATAGAGTCACTAATTTCTACAGCATCACACAGCAATAAAAAAAAATCTCCACTAGTTGCCAAAGAACTCACAAGTACATTTAGCTGTATTAAAAAAAAACTTTATTTATCCAGTTTGCACCTCTTGCTTTCCTACAGAGATCAATCACCAGACCCAAGATCTGTGAACCACAGGCTAAACCTGCTGTAGGCCACGGCATATTTTTCATTTTTGACAATATGTTGGCATTTCTATGTAATAAATTCCCAAGTTCTGCAAAGATCTAGGAACACTGTAGAGGTCTTGACTTTTCATATTCTCTTGTGAAATGCCACCCAGGAAATTTAAACAAACAAACCAAAAAGTACATCACAAAAAATTATGTTGCAAGGCAGCAAGAAGTGATTTACGACTCATTGTTTACATAAGGGGCTGTATTCAGCAGTTCTTCTGGACTTCACTTCTAGTAATAAAACTGGATTCACTAATTCATGCTCCATTAAGGCCCATATTTTAATAAGAACACTGGAAAACTGGTTCTGAAATTCATTAATGTAACTATAACAATACAAAAGGGTAATTCTGCCACTTGGCCTTCCTCATGTTTGATAATTAAATAAAAAGTTAATACAGAACTTCTGTTCCAAGACAGAATATCTTTTTCACTGACACATAATACAAACACCTTATCTCTCCCCTAGCTGGAGCCAATATCTCATTCCAAGGAACAGTTCAGTGCATAACAAAAAGAACTAGCACCAAAAAATTCAGACTTCCAATGAGAGCTGCAGGGATCTGTCTTCAGAAAAACTACAATTCTGCACACAAACTACAGGGGACTTTTACTCATTTTCATAAAACACCACCATCACCAAAACAAAGAAAAACAAGTCTTCCAACTTTACCTACCACTGTTACGTTTACTAGGTAGGGCTACTTTACCTTTCAGAAGCTGACAAAAATGTAATTAATAGACTGAAGGTAAACATTACAAATTCAGAGACAATTTTATAACAGATTATTCTGGCAATACCTGGTTCAGGGAGGGGAATAAATATATAATTACTGTTCAGTGTTAACTACACTTTATTACTGTTCTACTTGAAAAATAACTTTATTTTTAATTCAGAATCACAAAAGGTAAACACCAGTTGCAGAAACTGACATAAACAAGTGCCTACCTTAACTCTCCAATCTTGTAGGCTTTAAGAAACTTACTGTAAAATCCAGTCAGTACAGGCAGTATTTTACAAGCTAGCAGATTTTAAGCTAAGCAAGGACAACTTTTTTTTTTTTTTTTTTACTTGACGTGCCATGCAGTGCTTCTGCAGTTTAAGTGGGGCCAGATTTTAACACGTAAACTCAGTTTTGCTTTTGTACTAGAAAACTTATCATTCTGACATGAGGTAACAGCAACAGTAACCACCAGTTTGGTACAAAACATTATTTAATCACCAGTGTAGTCTGCCGCATAGTACTACATTAAACACCACTGAAGGCTCACTCACAGATGCGCTAAATAACTCTAAGATCTAATAATATGAGAAAAATCATAAGAAAGAGCAATAGCAAAACATGGATGTTCAGGTTACTCTTTTCTAAAGTGCATGAACACAGCTAAGCAAGATTCCCAAATCATTATTTCTTTTTCCACCTCACATTCCTCAAAAGTACATGTGTGAATTCCCCTCTCCTGTATACTGCCCTTCCCAATGCAACCAGGTCAGGGCATAATTCCAGTGGACCTGATAATGAGCCCATTACTTGCCCCTTCAACTTCCAGCCTCTGGCTCCCACCCTACAGAACTGCAAGAGTAACCACTGTTGACAGCCATTCAAGAGTCTGTACCCCCGAGGAGGGCAGCAAGCACTGCAGAGGGACAGACTGCTTCAGAGGCACCTCATATTTGTGCTGCCAAAAACCTGAAAGCCATTTACCAATGGCACTCGTTCAGCTGAAAAGGCAGTAAAACAACTCAAGAGCTGAAAACTGAAAAAATTTTGAATAGGCAACAGAAAGCAAGAAAAGCAAACTAAGAAAATAAAATTACTTTTATGGAAAACTTTTGCACTTTTGGAGAGATCTAAGTACAGGAAAGGATTTGGGCAAGTTTCAAGTCACAGTCCAAAATTCCCGTTAAACTAGCTAATGTTATAAAAAGTAGCAGAAATAGTTATGATTATTTCAATTCAGCAGCAGCCAGGAGCCACAGGATTGTGCACCCCAGAACCACTTTGAACAATATTTCTGGATCTCGATACACTTATCCAGAAGCATACCAAAAGACACCTAATTACTCTGTCTGGTTACTATTACCAGAAAGTAGCAAAAGCTGGCCCAACAAACACAGCATCACCGGGGGGTTAAAGGAGGTGATTGTCCCACTATATTCAGCACTGGTACAGTGCTTAATATACAGTGCTTACCTGGACTACTGTGCACACAACTGGACAACTATGCGAAGGTCCTTAAATATGGAGGAGGGCAACAAAGCTGCTGGCATGTCCTGTGAGGAGCAGCTGAAGACCCTGGCTTGTCTCCATTGGAGAACAGGAGGCTGAGGGGCAAACCTCACTGCTCTCCTTCTACAGCCTGCTGAGTGGGGGAAGTGGAGAAGGAGGTGCTGGTCTTTTGTGCCTGGATCCAGTGATAGGATGAACAGGGATGGCTCAAAGCTGTGTCAGGGAGGGTTCAAACTGGATATTTCTTTACTGAGGGCATGGTCAAACACTGGAAGAGGTTTCCTATGGTGGCAGTCAATGTCCTAAGCCAGTCAAATGTTTAAGAGGTATTTGGCCAGTACCCTTAATAACATACCAAGGTTTGGTCAACCCTGAAGTCATCAAGAGATTTGACTAGATGATTGTCATATGTCCCTCCTAGATGATTGTCATATGTCCCTCTTATCCTGTTCTGTTCTAAATCACAGGATACTCACTTTAACCTTTTCCATCTTGAAACCACAATCCAGGCCAACCACTAATGTAAACAATAAAACAGAAATATCCCCAACACATTACTGGAAATAACTTTGTGTAAGTTGCTTTGTGCTTTAGCAGGTAGCACTAAAGGTTTGGTGAAAGACTTTCCAAGTAGTTATGGAGAAAAGTCAGCATTGACTAGTAAGAGAATCACTTCAACAAAACAATCAAACAAACAAACGAAAAAGCCCCAAACCAAAACAAAAACTTCCTACAATGCAACCTCATCTCTAGGCTAGCAAATAAGTGTTTGCAGCAGGTATTTGAAAAGCACAACTCGATGAAACACGCTGTTCCAAAATGGATATTGTGTGCCCAACGACTGGGACTCCGTAGAAAACACAAGTACATTTACCCTGTCTTAACTCCACTTTCTCATCTTGCCTCCCTTACCGAAGGGGCGCACCGTGCAATTACCAGCCCCAGCACCACGGGCAGGCCAGGCCTCCGGGCGAGGCCGGTCCCGGGGCAGGCGGAGAGGCCGCCGCCGATCCCGAGGGACCTGGGGGTGGCCCCGGGATAGGGACGCCAGCCCTTCCCCGCAGGGCCGGCAGGACGGGCCGGGAGCTCCTCTGCAGGACGGGCCGGGAGTTCTCCTCCGGGACGGGCCGGCGCCAGGCCCCGAGCGCACCGGGGGCAGCACAGCCCCCTGCCCGCCACCGACGGGCTCCGAGCGGAGCTGGGGCAGGGACGCCCCTCAGCACCGCACGCCTCGAACACGGGGCACTGCCCACCCCGCCCCGCCGCTCGGAGTCACCCCCGGAGGCGGAGGCGGCGGCGCGGCCGAGCTCGGCCCCACTTACCAGCCCGACTCGGAGAGCGCCGCCCGCGCCCGGTCGGCCATGGCGCCTCCCCCGCCGCTCGCCCGCAGCACTCGGGGCCGGCGGGCGCTGCGGAGACCCCCGGCACTCGCTCGGACGGGGAGAAGGAACGCGGGGCCCGCTCGTTCCCCCGCCCCGCGGGCCTCTCCGGGCGCTCGGGCCGGCCAGGGGGAGGGAGGGAAGGGGGGAAGGGAGGGAGCGGAGGGAAGGAAGGGGCGGAGGCGGCGCAGGCAGAGACGAACAAAGCCCGCGACCGGCGGCTGCCTGGAAGCTGTTGCCGCCATGGCGGGGAAGGGAAGGAGTGAGGGCAGCGCCGGCCTCGGGCCTACCGCCATGTAGTGTCGGGGAACGGTTTGTTTAAATGCGTTTCGTCTGTGAATAGTATTAATGACAGTAGCGTTGTTCTGGGAAAGGCTCTCCTCAAAACGCGAGTTGCGGGTGAGGAGGGATTGAGCTGGGGGTCGGTCTCTTTCTCCGGGCAACAACAGATAGAACAAGAGGACACAGTCTCAAGTTGCGCCAAGGGAGATACAGGCTAGAATTAAGGAGGAAGTTTTTCACAGAAAGAGTGGTCAAATACTGGAATCATCTACCCAGGGAGGTGATGGAGTCACCATCCCTCGATGTGTTTAAAAAAAGACTGGATGTGGCACTTGGTGCCATGACCTAGTTGAGGTATTAGAACATGGGTTGGACTCGATGATCTTAAAGGTCTCTTCCAACCTAGAAATTCTGTGATTTTTAGAGTGTTCTGGGGCGCACGTCGCATGAGGAGCAGCTGTGGGAGCTGGGGATGTTCAGCCTGCAGAAGAGGAGGCTCGGGGGGACCTTCCCGCTCTTGACACCTTCCTAAAAGGAGCTCAGGGCCAAGTGGGACTCGGCCTCTTCTACCAAATAACAAATGACCTCAAGTTTGTGCCGCAGGAGGTTTAGATGGGATATCAGGAAAAACTTCTTCACAGAAAGAGTGAAGCGTTGGAACAGGCTGCCCAGGGAAGTGGTGGAGTCACCGTCCCTGCAAGCGTTCAGAAAAGCTGTAATGTGCTCCTTAGGGACATGGTTTAGTGGTAGACTTGGCAGTGCTCATTAACAAATGGTTGGGCTCATTGTTAATAGTATTCCCCAACATTAATGATTCTTTATGAAAGACCGTTCCTGTGTTTCTTTTATATTTGGCGGTTTGTTGTTTGGGGCTTTTTCTTTAATGATTTGCCCTAAAATGCTGGGCACTGATATGAACATTTTGGGGTTTATTTATTGGCCTTTTTAAAGGGAATTATACTTTAACAGAATAGCACTATTTCATTATTGCTGTTACCAGTGCCCAGTGCCCTCAGGTGCCAGTGACGGGCGAGGTGGGAGCACTGTCCTCCTGTTTACTCTGTGTTCCCAGCATCCAGAGAAATATCCAGAAGGTGAACGTGAGCAGATCAGGAGTTAAGAAACTGCTTATCAAGGCCTTGGTGCTCAGGATTCCTGCCTGCAGGTGAGGTCAGCTGCTCTGCAGAAAACATTGACCATTTGCAGTAGTGGGTCAGGTCCAGCTACTTCTGTGACCTGTCAATGCCAAATGGTTTTTTTCAGCACTGAGGTTTTGAAACTTGTTTGTCTATTAAAGGTGGACTTTTCTTCATGGGTTATTGTCATCCTTAAAATGTTTCAGTTTGTATGCAGCATTTTCCAGTCAAAGCTTACAATTTTGCTTTTGTTGATTTTTTTTTTTTTTGTTTCGTTATTTGATCCACCTGAAAACCTCTCTTTGCTCTACTGAGCACAAATCACTCAGGATTTTTGCACACAACACTCTTTGCTGTTCATTCGTGATATTTTCTTTTGTGTCTGTAGATTATATACTCTAGGGCAAAGATTTTGTCATAAGTAGGTATGGTGTCCTGTGTGGCTGCTGATTTTAAGAAGGCACATATATCTTTAAGCTGATAATTATTAAAAGCTTGACACAGATGAAGGAAACAAAACCTGTATTATTCAAGTTCAACTGAATATGCTACACATATCATTGAAGCTTTCCTTGTCATGAGCCTTAATATAAACCTAAAATAAAATCTTAAAAAGAAAAGGCAGCTAAAAATGGAAGACTAACATGTGACTTCTGCCAGCAAAATCTCAAAATAATGAATATAGCCATAGGAAAGTGTTAATCCTTGTGGTGGTCATCAACAAAAAAATTAGCAGAGGGAGCGTTATTAATTGGGAAAGTGGATTATCAGAGGTTGTGCAGTCCTGTGTCATGTCAAGGCTCCAGGTGAACATGAGCTGCAAAAGGAATAATGTCAAGGAGAACTAACTAACCCAAGAGCCTTGAATCAGACCTACTGTATGTCTGTAGCAAAGAAACTCTTGAATTAGTGATAAGGAATACCGTAAAGCAGAAGAGTCACACTGAAATGTTGGTAGCCACAGTAGCAGCCACTGACATGGAAAAGCACTAGCAGATAAGTGTGGCTTCAGTTCAGAACTTACTGTGCAAAAGAAATGGGAATAAAACCACCTTGCATTTGGAGTCTGACCTGTCTGCACATTAGATTATCAAGAAAAGGTTGTAAACATTGCAACTCAAAATGGGATGCCCATAGAACCAATTAGTAAGGGATGGAGTATGACCTAGGAGAAGATAATGAGAATTACAGACTTTATGCATTGCCTCATGTTAGTTTAAGACACGGAAGGTTTTGCTTACTTAAATCTTCATTAAAATCACCAGGCAATTATATCAGCAGTTTATGCTGGCATAGGGCTAGCTGTTGCACCTCACAGCACTAAATGCCATCTATTATAAAGGAAATGTAGGTGTTGTCCTTCTTAAAGGTCTGCAGGCATCTGCTCTAATAAATTCATTATATGCAAGCTGAGATGTGTGTGTGTATGTATTCACATGTGCCTCCTTTTGTGCAGGAGAGGTCTCCATTAGTGGGTGTTCCTCTGCTCACAGAGGGCACTGCCTGAGCTTTGTAGTGTGTAGCTGCTGTTGGCTGTGCTGCACCGAGGTGAGCAATTAGTTCCACTGCAAAACAGAAGGTGATGCAGTGCCTGCCAGGCAGTCAGAAACCCACAGATAAGACCCTCTGTACCAACTGTTTGTGATAGAATATTCTTAGAGCTTATTCTCTATATTGATCACCTTTAGAATAAATGACATTGCTGAAGGTAATGAGCACCACCAGAGGCTGTACAGGGACTGACGTAAACTGCACTCCTGTCAGGGGCTCTGTGCCTTCAGAGCTTTCTCTGGAAAATGCTTGTTGCTCCAGATGAATCAGTGCATCTCTGTCCACAAAATTCACATGGACTTCTTCTGTCCAAACTGCCTTGAAATGCAGCTCTGTTTTACTGCTGCCCATGTGCCCTGGGACAACTTAATCTATGCCAAAGAGGTTATTTCACAATGTTCTGTAATTTAAATACCTGAAAAGATTGGTCTACTCGAGCACCTCTGGTGAGACAGCTCTAACAGAACTAGCACACAGCAAAATAGCAACAGCCAGTTTTTGGAGCAGCCCTGCAGGTTTCTTGATTCATTGGATTAATTCGTCCTTGCTCCCTTGATCTCCTGCCAGTTCCAGGCTCAATCCTCTTGCTTAGCAGTAAGCTCACAAAACTGGGGAGCTGAAACTTTTGACCATGCTTTCCAGAAACAGGCAGGAGCGGAAACCTGTAACACTCCTGAGTTAAGGTATCATTAAACCCAATCTGATGTGCTGAAAGCAACAACATTGGGGTGAAGACCCTGAACACCAGGTCCAATAGGAGGTCCTCACAGCAGCAGAAAAGGCTGTTTTGGTCTCAATTTTTATTTTGTCTCCCACAGAATAAGCTTTCTTCATTTCATTATCTGAAGGGAACAGGTCTGCTTACTGAACATAAAAGCAGATGAATATCTGCTTATCCTGGATCTTTAGCTGAAAGTTACTGGGCAATGATTATAAAGGGCCTTTCCTTCTGGTCACTCTATTTCTAGGAGTGTGCTGCAGCTTCAACGAAAGTGGTTGCCCCTCTCCATGTCCTGTGATGGACTGGGTCTGGAACTGATATGACTGCAGTCAGAAGGATTAGCTTTCCTACATGTATTGTTGCATGTCAGCTAAAATATTGTGTATGTTCTATCTGAAGGACAGTACTCAGCACTCAGTCTTTCTTATATGGCAGCTGGAGAAGAGATGGATTTTTCACAGACTAAAGAGAAGAAGGGAAAGTTACAGAAGTAAAGATTTTCTTCATGAGGGGGAGGAAGGAGAGAGGCTTGGAAAGGAGTGGGATGGAGGAAAGACAAACAGCAAGTACACATCCTTCATGGAAGTGGGAAAGGATTATGAAGTCTTGGACATAATGCCATCACCTATAGCCACAGACTGTAGTTAAGGTGGTGTTGCAAGGAGAGATAATTTCCACTAAAGGTTAAGGCTAACATTTTTGTCAGGCTGCTCTAATTGATTTTGCCACCTGACTGTGCTCTTCTGGAACCCTTCAGTTTGACCACACTTCCCACTTTCTCCTGCAAATCACTAAGTGTATGTCAGGCATCTTAAAGGTATAGTTCACACTGGCATTATGTCAGTCAAAAAGCATCACACTCGGTAAGGCACTGGGGCTGTCAGGATTGGGGCATTTATATAAGGCACAGTGATGCTGTTGTTGGCTCTGTGCATGGCTGCCTATCAAAATCTCAGCAGTTCAGACCTCAAAGTGCAGATGAACCACTGCAATGATCACTAGGGTATGATGAATCAGTAAGTACTGCAGAATGTAATTCCATATAATTATGATGCTTTCAGGGCCCCTCGTGGGCCAGCAGAAGGGCTGGTGTTTGTCAGCCATTCTGGCAGAGCTCAACCTATTGCCCCTCTGGACACTGACTTGGTAAATAGCCAGGGAGCAGAGGATCAAACAGCATATGGCTTTGCAGACTTTACTGGGCTGCAGTAAACAACCCAGCCCTGAACAGCTGTGCCTTGTCTCTAACAAGATTACTTTTAAGAGACTGATACCTTCTGGACTGGATGAAAATCTGGAAATAAGCATGTTGTTGTCAGGGTTTTGAGTGCACCAAGAGGCTCTGCAGCCTCTTCCCTGCTCCCTGCAGCTTGGTTGCCCATCCTCCATTGCAGCTCTGATA